ACAGATCCAGAATGACCATAACAGAAACAGCATACAAATGCCATACGAGTACGTATGTGTTTAAACGTTTAACAGAACCATTTGTTCCTACATAAATGCCATACAAATTGCAGCAAAGGTATTTATTCAATATTGAGAACTTAAGGGATTTTACAAAGCCCTACCCAAAATTGCAATGAAAAGTAGAGAAGAGAGGATCAAGGGCTCAAAAAATATATATATATAGCATCTGTCTTACTTATCGGAAGGCTATACCTTATACATATGAGCTTATGGGCATTTCCTTTACTAGAAGCTTAATTTTTTTCGCTATTTTTATAGCTATGTTTACCATTATTATCTCCTATGAGAAGGATGATTCTTGATCAAAGTTTTTCCTCAACGCCTCCCTAACATATTGAACTATAACTATACAAAAATCCCAGTAAATTGGCCCAATATCGTCTAAAGGAATAGTTTGTGACTTGTTTTACCCTGGAATTTGGTAAGGTAATGCCAGTAACGTACATCAGTTGCTTCCGCGGATTTATATGGAAAAAACCGGAGACGAGTCTTAATCGCGAAAGCCACTTCTGTTTTTGTTAGTCAGGTCATATTTTGGCTTATTTCTTTTAAAAGCCTAATTACATTAGAGTTAAAAAAAACATATGTGATTGATTCGATAAGAGCTAAGGCTCTTTGGTTACGTGGAAATGTCTAGTCGTTGTCTCATCATGCCCGTATTCCAATCAAAGTCTCGTTCGCTTTTATCAGCTCTCATTTTAAGCTGTCCTTTATATGGATTTCTCTTGTTTCATCCTCGCTTTGTCCTCCCGCTTGTTTCAGAATCTCTGCTCTGCTCATCCGATCACAATCATCGGTGGTCACAAAAAGCGCATCGCTATGGCCGTGTCCGCAAAAATGTCGTGGAATCAATTTTGCAGCAAATTTTCAATATGCACCACCGCGAGTGGTAGGCCGGTCCAGGACGGTCCAGGCCGGGCGTGGACCCACCTTCGGGACCAACATCCCTGACTATCCCTTTATCTATCGCCTCCTCGTCCCTCCCTCCCAGCTAGTATGTCGGGCCGGGGACTAGGCCCTGGTATGTGGTCGTGGCTGGATTCTAACGGACCAAACTGGGACCACACACGAAAACCCGAAAATGTAATTGAAAAATGATTTTGTTACACATGTCCGCCCGTTGCCTAGGCATGGGGAGCCGAAGCCGAAGCCACGGCAGAGCCAGAGCCAGAGCCATGGGCAGGGACTAGGCTCGGGCTCGGGCTCGGAGCTGTTGATGAGGACCCGTATCCGGATCCGGATTGCATTTGCTGTCGAAACGTGGCGTTGCTTTTTGGTAATTTCGTTGGGGGGCGCAACAATTTTTAATTAATTCGTCGAGAATTGTGTCCTGCTGAAAGATCTCCAAGACCATGGGGCCAAAAGGGGGGTTGGCCTTCCTTGAGCTATCCTAATTAGCATATAAATGACATTGTCCTCTCAGTCAGACATAAAAGTGTGGTGGCATGTGGGAGAAGGGGTGGTGAGGTGAGGGAAGGGGGTGTGGCAAAGTGATGCGTCTCCTTTCAAACAAGTTCTACTCGCGCTGGCCTATTGATTTAGCATTAATTGTTAATTGTTAATAACCGAAGAGCGGCCGCAGCGAGGACCGCACAGTTTAACGCACCTGACAAACCGCATCAAGCCCGACACCATCCGCCCAGGGAGAGTGAGAGAGAGAGACGAAGAGGAGGCCGTTGGCCCACCTGGAACCCTAACTCCACTCGATTATTGGCCATAAGGTTTGGGGTTTGTTGGGTTCGTTTCGCCGCTGCCTAAACACGAAACTCAATTAACTTGTTAATTTATTTGCCATTTTCTTTGTTCGTGGCGCCAGTGACAACAACCAACAACTCGACCGGGAACGATGGTAACCCAGCCTGGTTGGTATGGTATGGTATGGTTGGTATCGGGTTCATTTTTGTTTTTGTTTGGCTGTCTTTGATTATGGGCACGGGTTCTTGAGGGTGCCTCAGATGTCGATGTTCTCTTTTTTAATTCTTCTTGGGTTGAATTTTCCTTTGCCTCAATACGAGTATTCAGCACTTATTTAAAGACAGTTGCCACTTTTCGCCTTCCTTCCAAAAGTAACCTTTTTCTGTCATCCTTTCTGATCGGAACTTAATTTTTGTTTAACTTTGCTTCTGATCAGCCAAGTCATTCTGTGGCCTTCCTCTTTCTTTTGATATACGTATGTATATTTCTCTGCTCTCAAGATTTAATAAGAGTTTCAGAGTGCCTTTCTCCTTCTTCATCGCTTATGGGTTAATTGGGTTGTATCTTTTAATGGTTGTAGGGATGAAATCCTGGGACTTTCTTTCATTTTTTTGTTACAATACTCGGTACTCGAAGAGGAGGTGTGTAAGACCCAGAAGGTGGCGTTTCCGAACCCATAAAGTATATAAATCCTTGATTAGCCTCAATAGAAAAGTCGCTAAAGTCCTTTCTATCTGTCTATAAGTGCTAGAGCAATAAAATTGTGTGTGCAAAATCCTGTGAGTCCTCCTACTGACTGAGTATCGGGTATAAGTGTAGAGCCGCGGACCTTGCCGTTGCTCATCACATTATCGAACGTTTTTTTGGCGTTTTTTTGTGAACTTTCATTAATTTTTCATGTCGATTCATTTATTGTTTTGTACCTCTCCTCTTTGACCGTATACGTAACATATTTTTTGCTAATTTAGAGAATCAAACGGGGCTTTTCGTTACTAAAATAAATAAAAGACATTCTTGTTCAACTTGTAACCTCTTTCCTTTCCAACAGACTCTCCACTTGGCTATTCCCAATCATTTCCTTATGGGACTGCATTTTTTTCCCCTGTTCCCCCGTACAATGCCCATTTTGTACTTTTTGTACTTTTGAGCGAGTGCCGTTCGGTCTGAGGTGGGGAATGTGTATTGGGGGTGGGGGTAGGTTAGAAATCGTTTCACCGTTGCTCACTTTCAACTTTCTTCTGGGAAGCGAGTGAGGTGCGGTGAGGTGCGGTGCGAGAGGGTAGTGCGGGAAAAGTTTTCCCTTTGTATAATTAAAGCTGGGGGCAGGCGGAAAGCGGTAAAGGCAGTGATGAAGACAAACGAAATTGTTTACATGTGTCTTTGTTACAGTTATCCATTGGTGGGTCTTCCGAGGGCGCTTCGGCGCGGGCTTAGGGGGTGGTGCCGTGGAGTGAGGGGCGCCAGTGTTGGTTTAGTGTTAGTGGGCCTACAACCGGCTACAGCTGCTCGGTTACAGCTGGAGGCATGTTTTCTCTTTCTCACTCAGTCAGCAGCCAGCAGGCAGTAGGCAGCAGCCAGCAGTCTGGCAGGCGCTCTGGCTGTCTCTCTGGCTGCCTCTTTCCCGTTTATTTGCCTCCACTCTTTGCCTTGTAGTTCCACACCACCCATCCCACCCCTTAAGCCACTCATTGCATAGCACTTGCATATGCAAGACTTCAACATCGCCATCGTTATCGTCATCGTCATCGTCATCGTTGAGAGTGGCCTCCTGTCTTGTTCACGCCCATTTTATTTAGCATTTTGTTGTTTTTTCGGTTTCCTGCGGTTTTTAATTAAAATTAACTTTGTTTATTTTACGCTTTTCCTCACGCCAAATGCCCCCCTCCCCCCACCCAATACTCTCTCGCTTTCTCTAGCCTGCACTCTCTTTGGCTGCCACAGACACAGTAATGTTTACTCTGCCCGCTCTCCTGCTCTCCTGCTCTCTCTCACCGTCTTTCTTTTTATACCCCTTGCAGAAGGTATTATGATTTCCGGCAGATGTTGGAAACAAAGCAAGGAAAATACATATATTTCCGATCTGCAACCGATAATGGATGCCGCCAAGCTCGGGTCAGTATATTTTAGAGTATTATCAGTATATAAAATATATATTTTGGCAGCTCTCTTAGGAACGATTAGTTACCAAGCAAGTTTTTTCTAATAATATTTTCTTATATCATATAGTTATCATACATTGTAATATATAATTCGTTCACTTTCAATTAAATATTCGGTTCTTAAATAAACATTTATGAAATTAAATTAATATTACATTGATTTTAATGTACAAAAATCACTTTGGTTTACACTTACAATAAATGTATTAAGAAGTCTTTAATGTAAATGTAAAAGACTTTAAAATAAATATAATATATTAAATTTTAGGGCAATATATTCAATTCAAATATGGAAATAGTTAATTTAAATATGAATTATATTTAGATCAAAAGGTAAGTGAAATCGTTTCCATTTTAATGTCTTCCTTCTAGCATAGAGCCTTTTCGAGCCTAAAGGCCTGTTCTCTCAGGGTCTATTCTGTTGGCTTGTGCCAATTTTTGATGAAAATTTAATAACGAACGACGGATCTGCAAGGGTGTCAAATGGTCGGCTTCGGCCCTTTCTTTTTTTGATCCCTCTTTGTTGCTGATGCAGTTGTGGAGGCTGTTCGCGGGGGCTGTTGTTGTTGTATGAGTAGCTGCATGTAATTGCCGCCATTTGTGTTGTCATCGCCACCATCCTAGCCACATGCACCCCCACTATACCTACCTGTTGGCAGACGGACGGACGGACAAACAGACAGGTCGGAAGAAGAAGAAGTGTTCTGCAATCATCGCCATCATCTTCCGCCTTCTCAGGGCTTGTGTAACTTTTGCCAGTTTGCTCAAGTTTTTGCGTTATTCCTGCTGGTACCATACCAACGCATTAACCCACCGCCCCCCGCCACACTCATTATGATTAGTGCATTTTATTAGCATTTTAATGCAATTCGTTTATTTGAAAAATATATATGAATGGATTAACTTAAGGCGAAGGGGATTCTCACAGCAAAAATGATCCTTCCTGAGAGTCTCTATGATAAGTACATACTTCTGGGCACTCAATCCAACAAGGAGTCTGGGGACGATTACTTAGATTTCGCCATCATTCTTAAATACCAGACGATGAATCAGGTTTCTTATAAACGTATTTGTATAAATAATTCCTTATTTTATGGGAATTTATTTGAACAATATCTATTACAAAGATCAAATGTTTTTTTACTTAACGAAGAAATGGTTTTGGGAGCGATCAAATGATACGCAGTTTTTAGTGTCCCAATATATATAGCCAATATATTACGTGAAATTATGTACTTTTAAATACTCTACAGAGTTGTGTCGCGTTGCGGGGCGAAAGGATTGGGTGGTGTGGGTAAATTTGGGTCCCATTCACAGACGAAGGCCAACTTCTTATCACACTTTTCCACACCCATGACCAGTTCTGTGCCCGTAAACTCCATATAGACACAGTAGCCATCGCCGAAGCGGGTCTTTGGTGGCTCCTTCTTCACAAAGTTGGTATAGTTCATGGGCAGGGCGTCATTGTGCCAGTAGAAGTCGTAGAGTGTTTTGTGATCAACATCGTCCGGATTGGACAGGCGTCCGCGATGACCGCCGCACCAGAAGACCGCATGGGTGGCGGCATGTGCCTTGTACTTCAAGTAGTAGGCAATCTGTTTCATTTCCTCGACCGTTCGAACAGTTACCAGCCGGGACTTGTCATCAATAGCCTCGCAGCCTAGGTTCGCATGAAGCCAACCCATCTAAAGTCGATGAGACTCGAATAATTCGGACCCTTGTGGCGGATTCAAATGCAAATACTCACTACGACGGGCACACTGAGAACCCGAGTCTTGAAGGTGACCTTGTAGTACTCGTAAGTGGGCTACAAAAAGGGAATCATTAGAGAGAACCCCGGCATACGGATGGCTTACGTACGACTTTGTTGGAGGAGAAGAAATAGCACCGTCCACCGATGTTCACAAAGGGCTTCGAGCAGTGAGCTGGGAAGGCATAAGACCATAAATACAATCTATACTTAATTGGGAAGAGAGATGAACAGAAACTCACGGTGCCAGTAGTCCTGAAAGTGGATGGTGGCACCCAGGAGCAGGATGAATGATATGCACACAAACGATTTCCCCATAGATGGCATTTCGATCAGGTATTAACTGAAAACTGTGCCTCAGCCAGAGCGTACATGGGCCTTTTATAGACTCCGCACAGCTGGCAGAGCCCTAGCGTTTGGCGTGGCACCACCGATATGTATCATGTTTACATTCGAGCCCAGGAAAGGTCTGACTAGCTTTTCGTTTAACGTATGATTGTACACCTTTTACTTCTACACAGTGCAGTTCTGCGAACCGAACCTTTCCATAGCAGTTGTTGAAAAATGATCAAGCCATTGAAGAAATATAACACTCTTTGTGTGTGTGGTATCGAATCAATGCGCAGACATCTTGCATCATTCCACTGAATGAAAGACAGAAAATGTACGTAAAATACAGACTCTAAGCAATATTGATAATTAAACTCAAAAGAAGAGATGAAATGCAGTTACATGAACGTTTGAAAGATCTCAGGCCTGACTCTCATCGCAGAAGCGGTCAATGCTGACGATTTCATTGTTGGAGCCCATCAGATTCAGGGTGGGGGCCATCAGAGTCAGGGTGGGAACCGATGGATTCCTCTCGGCATGAGTGGGTCTCAGCGCACCAATCGAACGATGCTCCTGTGGATTGTTGTTAGTCGTGTAGTGAGGAGACGACAATTGCCTTTTGGATGAGGATGCGTGCAGCCCGGCACGCTCCTCCATCAGCTCCGCGTAGAGCTGTTCGACCAGTTCACGGAAGAGCGTGGGGTTCACGTTGATGCTGACGCCCATGAGGACGAACCAGTCACCGTATCCGGCGGTGGACAGCACCTCGCGGACATGCGACTTGGGCATGCCGCGCAGATGGGTGCGCAGCAGCTGGAGCCGCAAGTGGGAGCAGAAGACGAGAACGATTCGGTACAGGATGTTCAGGGCGGATAGCATGGCGATGAACAGGAACCACACATACAGCACGGCGAAGATCTTCTCGTTCAGTATGTTCAGCGGCAGGACGCAGAGGATGTCGAGCACATTCGGACTGCCGCTGGGCCCATACACAAACATCTCGCACTTGGCCACCTTGGGAAAAACGCGCGAGGTCATCATGTTCCACAGTTGCCAATCGTACACGGGTATGGCGGCCAGGGCGTGTATGTACTTGTGCCAGAACCCATTGAAAACCACATCCATAAGCCAAAAGTTCAGTATCTGCTGGAATGCTTTATAGATTAGAGAGGAGCCTAAGCGACGGGCTTACTAGGCGTATACTTACGCTGATCAGCAGGTTGAGCATCTCGCAGAAGGTGTACTTGATGGCATAGCAGCAGTGGATGCTGGAAAATTTCGCCCGAAAGTACTTGGTGAGCATCTGGAGCCGGGTGCGGTAGGTGTCCTCCAGGATGATGGCGCCACTCACTTCGCAGCACAGCTGCGCCATGCGATGCCCCTCCCACACCTTCCACAGATACGAGGGCAAGTAGAAGAGCAGCGACTGGAACAGCAGAATCATGAACACCCACTGATAATATCGCAGATAGAGGCGCTTCGTAACGCCCCGCTTCTCGGGACCCACGCCCTCGGCTATCGAAATGATGCGGACGAACTGCTGATCTCTGGCCATCAGTCCGCGCAGATCGCTCCGATTGAAGTCCGCGGGGGCCAGTCCGCGCAAGAAGAGCCCGGCGCTGCTGTTGCTCTCGGTGGGCAGGATATAGGTGCCCATTGTCCAGCAGTAGGACTGTATGTACTCCGTGTGACTGCTGGTGCTGATGCACAGGATGGGCTCTCCGAAGTACTGCTTGGCCGACAGCAGGATCGTGCAGGTCAGCAGGATCACGATGGTGCACTTGGAGTGCAGTGTGAATATCGGGTCGTATATGCGCACCGTCTTCTGGCGCAGGTACTTTGAAAGAGGCTTCACTGCCGCATACATAGCCAAAATCTTAAGGAACTTTTATTTTATGTATTTTTGTTGTTGTTGTGGTCCAGGACTCCGCTTCCCCCTTGCCGCAGGAAGAACTTTCCAGAAATAGGTTTTTTTTTGTTTTCAACAAAATCTGACAAGTCTGTCTCATTTCTTGTCGATTGTAGAGCCGATTAACTGAAGTGCAAATAGGAACTGAGTTGCCACCATTATTTTCCAATTAATGATAATATTCGTATTCGGGTGACAATTTTACGACAGAGTCGCATGGTGTTAACCATCGATAGATATCGATAAATTCAACGTTTGCTTCAATGAATGATTGTCAAAGTGGACGGTGGAGGGTAGTGGATGCCAATGCAAAAAGCTCTAGATTAGATCCACTTCAGGTATAGTTTTGTTTGCAGTTGCTTTCCGATAGAAATGCATTCTGTGTTGTGTCATTATTTGTCAAGTGTTGTAAAATGAAGTACAAATGTAATTTGTGGAGCATTGCCAACAGTGGGCTTTGCCAGATTGCAGCACAGCTAATCATAATGGAAAGTGATAAGTGTAAGTGCCGATTTAATCGTTCGAGCTTAAGTAAATACAACGATTCTCTATATTTATGGTCTTTAGAGCACTAGAGATACCTAGACTTTGGCAAGAGCACGCTTGATGCTCTTTTTTCAGCATTGCCAGCTTGGACACGAGTACGTGGTATTTGCACTTGATTTGTTAACCCATCAATTGGGTAAACTTTGCTCGAAGCGACTATGAACAGCGTTTTAAATTCCATCAGCCATCACCTATCACCCATCATCAATCCGCACCTAAGCACCGCAACTAGGACCCCTGCCCCGGGTGTCCACTCACGCAGACTTTTCATCCTCGCAGTCGTACTCGTATGTATGAGGATCACGAGCTATGGGAACGGCAACGAATGGCAATAATAATAAAATGATTAATCGATGCTACATGACTGCATATACAAATAATTCCCAACGGTGTGTCGTCATCAGCGTCATTACCCACATCGTCCTCATCATCATCATCATCATCATCATCATTGGGAGTGGGAGTTGGAGTGGAAAGCAGCAACTACATCGTCATCCACATTATCATCCTCACTGCCGGATGGCCCCGTGCAAATGTTTATTGTGGGAATTCGTTGACTGGAACGTGTCGAGTGGCGACTCCAGCATCCAGCATCCAGCATCAGTTGCCCCACCACCTTCACAACCTTCACCCAGGGCACACTCCCGGCCTCCGTTCGCTGTACATCCATCTCTTCATCTCTCCCTCTTCCTCTCTCTGCTCTCTTTTTCCGCTATTGCCAGGGCCACAAAAATTAAATTTATGAATTGTTTCGTTTGTGCGTGACCAGAGATTTACAATAATCAGAAATCGGGAATCAAAGAACACGCTCAGGAGACTAATTAGTCCTGGCCTGGTGCCGTATATACCCGGGCTGCAGAAATTATAATTATAATTTCTCGTGTCTACCAATTGCCCTATCCCTTATCCATTCACCTCCAGCCCCTGCGCTGATTGTTTGGCCATTAAATAGGAATGAGAATGAAAATGAAATATGAATTGAAATTACGTTAAATGAAGAAGTCACAACGTTGCCATACCCTTGTAGAGGGTACTATAATTTCCATCAGACGGCCCCAAAAACTAAACAAAGCAAACTTTCATTCTACCGTTTCTTAGCCTTAGAGGAAAATCATTTTGCATTTTCCCAACCAAAGAACAATTTTAAGCAGAGATTGGGTACCGGCGCATCTCTCAACAAATTCATAATCATAATTATGCAGCAGCAAAAATGATATTTTTATCCGTCACGCAAGAATTTTAGAAAAAAGGCAGGGCACCAGTGCCCTGGTGGTTCCGGAATAATCGTGGAACTTGAAACTTTGCAATCGATTGAAGTGCAACTCTGAAACTCTGTCTCTTGGAAGTATGAAAATAATCGATAGATATCACAAAATCTTCCTCAGCAGAGCTGGGTTTGTTCTGCAGTGCTTATTGCTCGTGATGGAATACATTTAACGAACCATAATCCAAATAACCGCATTAAATAGATACTAATTTCTTGGCAGCCGCCCACACTCGCCCACAGCCGCCCCAATCACAGCCAGGTGATGATCCGCTTGCTGGGGTACCAATGCGAAACACCACCCATAAAAGCCCATAAAAGTTCGCTGACAGCTTTTTAAATATTTATTTAAATGGAATTCATTATTTAAAGCGATTTTTCATTGACCACAAAAACCGAAAAACGTTTGCTGCCGACCCCGGCCTCGGCCCCAGCTCTTTTCTGGCTGGGGACTGGCGTGGCCGGTACTGGGTGCGGGGGTCTGGCCAAGGGTGTCCAGCCATGGATGGGTGAAACGATGAATGGCTGAAAGGATGGATGGCAGGATCTTATTCCCCGACTCCCCACTTTTTCGATGGCTATGTGTGTGTGTGTGAGTGTGTGTGTGTGTGTGTGTGTTTGTGTGGGCATTGTGTTGGGCTACGGCCACGCATTTCGTGCTTAAATAAATAAATTGAACAATTATGCGTGGTTGCGGTTGTTTTGGCTTTGATGGAGCCCAGGCATAATCCTATTACCGGGCCATTCTCCATTCTCCGGCCGACAGTTGCCCTGCCCGTTGACGACTCCCATTCGCATATCCCAATATCCCATTTCCATTTCCATTTCCATTCCCGATGCTTCGATGCCGATGCCGATGCCCATGCCGATCCCTTTCTGCGCTGTAACTCCTGAATGCGGTAACTGCTGTATGGTCAAACGTTGTCCGCTGAAGGATACTGTACTCGTGGATTTCTGGATTGCTGGATGGTCGATGGTGGTTTACTTTTCCGCATAAATCTGCCAAAGCAGCTGCCAGACAGCCCAGCCCAGCCCAGCCCAGCCTAGCCTAACACAGCACAGCCCATTCTTCCTCTACTCTGTCTGTGGACCAGGGTTTAGTTTGCGTTTTCCCCAGCTCGACTCGATTCGATTCGATTCGATTATTTGATGCGAAAATCGGTCAAACTTTGTTAAACTTTGGTACGATTTCCCAATAATTAACGAGGTTTATTTCCATTACCATAATTGGCAATGCTTTTACCCGTAAATTACACTTGGTAACCTCTGGTGGCAAGCTCTGAAGTTCTGTTTTTCGATATTCGGGCTCGTTGCAATCTGAAATATGGACATACAGATTTAATCTTTCGATACAGATTAAATGAATTGTACTTATAAGGCTGCAATCTAATGATGGTGAAACGAAGCCTGTTCTATATCTACGAAACCTTGGTTTTGACTCAGTTTTAAGGAGGAACTTCTTGAGTTACTTACTTGTTTGATGCGACTTCTTTTCGTTAAAAAAAATGGATAATAAATTGAATGGATCGTGTATAAATTATGACTGAATTCGGAGAGCAGATCTGCGGTTGGCTGTATGCCGGGTCCACTCCACTCTGACAACATGTCTCGCCACAGCCTGAACTCTTGTCAAAAGCACTTGGAAGGCCTTGGACTGCTCCTTGCTGTACCACCGCAAGGCAGTGCTCTTGGAGCAGTCCCGCGACTGTTTGCGACCACTGACCATCATCACTCGGGAAAGGGTTTCCAGCAAGGGCCTGTCACTGGGTACCCATACGCGTGTCTGTCTCTGGCATTTCAGGTCGCGTCGCTGCCACTTGCCACTTGCCACTTGCCACTTGGCTTGAAATTTATGCGTTTAATAATGCATCGGAGTTGGGAGAGTCCGAAGAGTTGGATGATGGCTCCCGCGATGACGCTAGTTATCTCTGAGGCCACATCATCATCGTCATCATCATTGTCGTCAAGGGGCTGGACCCGTTATTATGTGCCAACATGGCCGTCAACGTGACGCAAAGACAAAGCCAAAGGCAAAGGCATCGGCGACGGCGACGGCAACGGCGACGGCAAGGACGATATCAGCATATGTTTCGACGAGTGTGTGGGCGAATGTATCCCAGCATGTTCCCGCCGTGCATTGTTCGATTAATGACTTCACGACGTGATTTGAATAACTTTGATTTAGTGTCATATCATTTTGCGTGCCACACAACACAGGCACAGGATGGAACAGAACGGGGCCAAAGCCGAACCAAATACAGAACGGGGCGACCGAAGAGGGAACGATTCTCCCAGCTAATTATATTTATTTACTGGGCGTGCACACAGTCACAGGGACACAAAGTGACAGAGGGAGATGCCAGTACGAGGACCATTTAACTAGAGGGTAGACAGCAGCTTGTGGGGCCACCGACTTGAGCCTTTAATTAATATTAGAATCCCAGTAGCAATCAAACGGTGGCGCATGAGGAACATATTTGATGTGATATTGCCAACAATGGAGATGAACTCATCGACAAAGAGATGCGGCTCCGAGTGACCAACCAGAGATGTGGCTGTGGTCGTCTTAGATTGTCGATTAACCTTGTTCGCTTCGGCGAGCAGGCGATTGAGCGATTCTCTGATTTGGTGATGGGTAAGGGCAGGGGTTGTACATAGATACAGCGATTTGAATGAAGCATTGGTAAACGCTACACAGAATTGTTCGTGGGAAAAAGGATGGTTTGGGCACAATATTAATTTGGGATGTACATATAGAGTAAACTCGTTCTCATCGCCCATCCTTAACGGAAAATTTTCTTATAATGCGGAAAGGGTATTTTTTAACATTATTTTTAGCACTTCACCAATTCAGGGTTGAAAAAAAGTACCTGAGCCTAGTGATGGGTGTGATGAAGAATATATCGATATTGATGCACTAAATATCGGCTATATCTATTGCTATGAATATTAATACTTATAAGTAATATATTAATAACTTTTTAGTACATATAGCGCTCAAAACTTGCTTACTTATGCCTTTTTTGAAAAGAAAATACATTAAGCTTAATATTAAGATACAAAATCAACACAAAAAGTTAGATGAATGCACATGAATAAGACGATGATTGAAAAAGAGAGATCGAAATAGGAGTAAATTGATAGGAAGACCACTTAAGTCAATATTTAATGTTTTTCAAGCAACAATTTGACCTTGATTTCTTTTTCTG